GAAAATTGTTTGACAAGGGACCCATGTTTAGATTGAAAATTGGGAATTTTTGTCTTTGAATCACTTTTGAAAATCTTTGATAGAACTCCTTGAATGAGAGGTTATTCAAGGATCAAGAGTTACCATACCTTAATTATTGAAGACCCATGAAATTGAAGAAGAAATCAGTTGAAAAGCCATCTTCTAGCTTGAGCTTCATCAAGGTCTTTGATGGAGTTTTTGAGAGAATCTATTTTGAGAGGGAATGGTCAATTTGAAGAATGGGGTCTAATTCTAGGTTTTAGGATTTTAACCAACTTAAAATACCCTAAAATAGGTAGAATAACCGTTTATAATAATTTCCCAAAGTACCCAAACTACCCTCACTTAGTTGGACCTTTTAAACAAGTCAAACTTGAGTTTTATTTTCGCAGATTTCGTCGGGAAACAAGTTCGCGACGTGGAGGTGTTCCCACAAGTTTCTGGAAATTAAATTTCGAGATAGTAGAGTCCACGACATGTCCGCGATGCGGACCAAACTTTTGGCCCTTGGTGGAGCTAGTCCGCGACGTGGACATGCTCCCTCCATGAGCAACTTCAAGCTGCCTTGGCAGCTTGTTTGGCCAAGGGTTGGGATCCTTCTCGGGGACCCTTAGGGTGGTCCCGGGGAGTCATGCCCGGACGTTTTGACCATAAAAACATTTATTAAGACACTAGGGTCACCTCTACTGATTTTAGACTCCAAACAATAAATAAAAACATGAACAGCATACTAGAATAAACCAACACGTAAAAGACTAGTTTCCGAATATGTTGGTCGTCCCTTGACGTTTGACTTTCAAACTCTTTAAAACTGACTAAAAAGGCTATTATTCATTATTTTAACAAGTTTTTAATGCATAAAATCCATGTGAGGCTCTACTTTATCCTACTTCATTTTGAGGGTCGTTACATAAACGACTTGCTAAAAAGTTGTTAGAGGTGCTATTGAAGGGTCTCAATATCAATGAAATTGATGAATCTTTAGAACCTCTATTGATGGGAACTATGAATTTCAACATAAACTACTATCCACCATGCCCAAATCCAAGTATAACCATAGAGGATCACTAACACTGCGACGTGTCGTGCATCACTCTGCTCTTCCAACACGACACTGGAGGACTATATGTCAGAGGGACTAAAGGCGATAATTGGATCCACGTAAATCCAATCAAAGGCGCCTTAACGATTAAAATAGGTGATGTTTTGCAGATCATGAGCCATGATCGATACAATAGTATCGAGCATTGTGTAACAGTTGATTCGAACATGACTCGAATATCCATACCACTATTTATGAATGCTAGCCTTGATAGTGTCATTGGTCCATTTTCACAAATGCTGAAAGATGGAGAAAAACCAGTGTACAACCATAACTTGCATTCTAATTATTGGGATTATTTTTACCGTAAGAGGCCTTCTGGTAATGCATCCTTAGATTTTGCTAAAATTTGATATTTTAATCTACTAATTTCTTGTTATGTGAATTTTATTGTATCGTCAAATTTGTTATCATGTAACGACAAAAAGTTTCTCTTTACATAACCAAGGAGTTGGTACGATTGTGTCGTTATCTTGTTTTGTTCTAATCATTTAATAATCTTATTTTACACTTTATCCTACTTTTTGTTTATAAGAACTTC